GTCCAGCAAGATCACTCGTGCATCGAATATTCAATACGACATCGGATAATACGAAGTAATAAATTGAAGACTCGACACGACGACAGAGTTACTTTAGCATTACCTTTCTCCTTATTCTTTTCTCTTTACGTCGGAGAAAGCTTTACACGCTGACAGCGATAACAGCAAGGGAAGTTATAGATCAAGATAAATTTTCGATCAATCAATCATCGACCACGTAATAATTTCTGTCTTGATACTAATTAAGAAATAAGCGTGACGAATAAGAGACGAGATCACGACTACCTTTACATGTCCTTTTCTTACTTATGCCAGAGAAAAAGTTATTCTTTTAAATACTTTATATCTCTCTAAAGCGTTGATACGTATCGATCCTCCGGATTGAACAAACGCCCTGCGCGCATTTTACTCGCTCATAGACGCACGGATAGAAACAGCTGTCCGGAGAGACTAAGGTCACCAAAGCACGAGGTATAATTAGTTCTTGCCACTTATATGGACCGAGCACTCTGGTTTGCCAGCGAGGCCGCGAAGAATTCGCTTGAAAATCCTTTGTACTCGCACCTGCGCGCCCAAGGCAGTTTATATCCTTCGTCAGTGACGTGTCCTTCCCCGGCCGTAGTCGACGGCGGAACCAGCGCGATATATATCGAATGACGAAACTTCGCTCCGCGCTGAATTGTTCGTCCAACTTGCCGCGGCACGGTTAGCGCGGAAGCGTAATTAGCGCCAGCGCGACGCGCCCTTGTTTGTTTAATAAACCCGAATTTGCGCGCGCGCGCGCGGGAGTCAAGTGTAATCGAAGAGCTGAGTGAATGAGGACTGCACACCGAGCCGTTATCATTGGAGAAGTGCGTTAGATTGATCTCACAAATAAATTATTATCTCTTGAGTAAGGGAGATCGGGTCTAATTATATACTAATGCAATATTTTTTAATATTGTACATTTTCATATAGGTGCAACTTTTAGGTAAGAGAAAAAATATTCTTTTACACATATTTATAAACAAAAAAGTCATTAAATCGTAATTATAGTATATTAAATGTGATCCTATACTCAGGATTGATTGTCACATGTCTTTCGTGTAAAAGAAACAAGACAGACAAATTATTTATATTTTAAGCTTTTAAGTGTCTCATTAAAGTTACTAATATCTTTATTTTAAAGTATCGTTAAAATGAACGTTAAAATAATTGGCCTCTGTCGTCAAGTTCATATAATTTATAATTCATAATTTATAGTTCATAATTTTTGTAGTCCAACGGGAAAGAAAAATTCCGCGAATCGTTCGAAGAGAAACGAGGCAGATTCAGTTTGTTATCTTCCTCGCCTGACATATAATAACGAAGTAATTTGATGCCAATTAGGGCACATAACTTTAATATCTCCAACTAACCCGAAAGGCTAAAACTGAAACCGATTAAAGTTAAATCTTTATTCACTGCTCTTCGACCATAATTAATTACTATTAATACTATTAATTATAATTATTATTAATACTATCAATATAATAATTATCATTACTGACTGTTTATATATTAATTCCTTCTTTATCGACGAATTGTCGAACGGTAATGTGTTAATAGTAATTATTACTACCAATTCTGATGGAATTAATCGAATGACGCGGTAATGCTTGTCAAGTTGATTTCGTCACCTTGCGTCAGATTATCCGTTTCGGCAAATTCAACGCGAGTACCGAGCGCATTGTATTTTCGGATTTGCGATGTCTTCCACGCCACGGAGGAACAGTCGATTCGCCCGGCGCTCTAGAACGGTAATACAATGGCCGGTGCAATTTTTTGATGCAGGACGGCAATGCCGAGCTCGAGGGAAATCCTGGACTTTCCTTAAAACGCTCGAGGAGCTCACTGCTCCGAATCAAGAGCAGGAACGAAAGAGCGAGCAGCAGCTGGAGCGAGAGGAGCAAGAGGAGAACGAGCAGAGAGACAGAGGGAAAAGGGAGAGGAGCGTAACTACAGGCGTCATGATGAAGGTACACGTATTCTTTTTAAGGCGGAACACTTTACTGCCGCTCGTTCCACGGCGGTAATGGAGGAAGGCCGGCCACCCCCGAAGAATTAATTCGGGGCTAAAGCCGAGAGGCGAACGAGAGAGAAAGAAGAAGGGTGGGTGAGAGAGAGAGAAAGAGAGAGAGAGGGGAAGGAAGGAGAAGAGAGATGTGTGAGTGAGCGAAAAAACCCATCCCCCGATATCGAGTCGCTCGGCCGGAAGTGTTAGTGTCTACTTACCACTCCTTCAGTTAGCTTTTTACTTTAGTTGACCGCATTAGCGCTCGGTCTCCCGTTTCGCAGGGGCGCCGCCGCCGGGGCGATTTCTAATTTAGCCGCCAATTTGAGCGTCGGTAGTCGGCCCCCGGAGAGAATCAGATAGCGGAATTTCCAACTCGACGTGAAGTCGACGCGGCCCCTTCAGCAAGATTCTATTTCGCGCGGGATATTAATTTCTCGCCCGTCTTCTTCTGCGCGCGCGCCTACGCGTCCGTCCTCTTCGCGGTTTCTCCTTAGTAACGACCAACTACTGTTCATTGATAACGCGACGCCCGCAAAACACTCTTCCTCGTTACGTTCTTATTTTATTATTTATTACTGCGCGGAAGAAAAACTGTGATTGGATTAATCAAAGTTTCGTGGTCAAGTATGAGTGAATCAGAATTTCGGTTGAGAAAGAGAGAGAGAGAGAGAAAGAGTGAGTTTCATTTCATACAACTGAGTGCGAATAACCAGACGAAAAATTCGCTAACGAGAAATAATATTTCTGTTATTATTAGCGAAAACATTTATCTGAACATTTAGCTGCATTGAAATTCGGTTAAGATGAATGAAAGACAATTGGCTGAATAGAATCTTCCTACAGAAATCTTTCTGTTCCTATGACCAAGTTCTCGCTCCTCAGATGACAGGAAATTTAGTCACGCTAATGGAATTATATTCTCCGCGGCCAAAATAACCGGGACACGCTTCTTAACGTTAGTGAAATTCACACGCCTACTGACGGGTTAAACGTAGATTAAAGGTAGATTCAACGATAGTTCCATCCAGTGTTGCCAACATGATGATGATGGTTGGCTTAAACATCAACAATCTGAGGCCTACTTGTTCGCAATGTTATGTCTCGCGTTTAAATCGATGACGGACAAATTCACGATTAAATCCAAATATATTCGACTCATTTGACCATTAGTATTAATTATGTTGAGATAACTTGTAACGGAATATATAATTGATACAATTATGAAAATAAATAATTGATCACAATTGCATTCACACTTTTAAACACGCTTCTTTATTTCTTGTTACTTCTTTTTTGAAGTTTATCTTATTTTCATCGGGCAAATATAAATTTATTGACAAAACGTCATTAGTAACGTAATATTAAAAAATAAAATTTGTACAAATGAATAAAATTTAGAAAATTAAAATTCCAACGTACGCACGGCGCCATGGATACCCCATCATTTTCTAGACTGAGAGTTACACAATTTTGAGCTATATGCGTACACGAATAAGGTTGAAATCATTATAATTAAGAAACCATTATAATCCTACCATAACTAGAGTTACTTATGCGATTTTCCATCTCAAGCGTTATAAGGCCGAAATGCCGAGCATGTCTAAGGCCGAAAATCGTGTAACCCTCGATCTCGATCTAGAGGATGATAGGGCATTCATGGGGTCGTGCGTGTGTCATATGTTCGTATAACACACATGTTCATGCCGTAACTCACATGTTCGTACAGGGATAAATAAGTTCTACTTTTTCATACTATGCAAAGGGAGATTAAGAAAAATTTACGTGAAAAATAAAATGTTACAAACAAGTTATTAACAAAGTTATTAGGAAGTTACTAACAAGTCGGTAGATGTAATAAAAAAAATAATAAATGCAGCAAAACGCGACGCACCTATTCCCGAGCCTGGACTACTAATACCCGTCTTTTTTTCGGATATATGTTTAGAAACTATTCCCTTCATTCCGTTAAAATTATTATTGCGACCGTTTACGCGAATTTCCATAATAACGTATTTTATATTTTTTTGTTAAATACAGTTTTATTTACTATTCCTTATTAACTCTCTATTGCTCAGCAGAGAAGTTTTCAGAGCAGATAATTGAGGAATAACCGTCAGAAAGACAGATATTAGTAACCAACATTAAAATAAGACGTTAGTAGTGTAAGATTAAGGGTTGACGTAAGGAGTGGCGAGAAGGAGACGCAATACCCGTTATTATAAATCCCGTTCCTATTATAAAATCGCTCGTGCGAAACGCTACCTAACATACGCTTATTCACTCGCTCGTTTACGAATTAAACGACCATCTCCCTCCTTCCCCCCCCCTCTCTCTCTCTCTCTTCCGCCTTGAATTCTTGCCTCGTCTCGAGGTTGCGGCATCCGCTTACCGAACGACGCATACCTCATCTTTCCCCTCGTGCTGTAAGCCCGCCGCCTGGTTTAGACCTGAAAATCCCGGAACCTCCTTTCTTCGCATTTACTGGGGTTCTGGACATTCTTGGCGCGGTTGCTCGCCCCCTTGTACCGTTTGCTTCCGTCGAAGCAGCCTCTCCATCGCGAGCCGGAGGCCTATTCATCCCCTCGTGCGCATATCGCCGTTAGCGCGAGCGAGAGGGCCGCAAGCTCGGCCAGTACGAGCGGGACGAGAGAAGAGAACGAGCGTTAGAAAGAGAGAACAGTGAGCGAGCGAGCGCGCGTTAGACGGAGAGCGCGGTAGTCGCGACGCCACTTGCCATGCGCGGCCGGAGACGACCGAGGCTCGACGAGACGGTCGCTCAGTCGTGCGCGAGCCGTGCAGCGTAACGGTTGTGATAGGAATACGGTACCTATTCGTTCGTACGATTGATTGCGCGCGAAGAAGCTTGGGACGCGACGCAATCACGAAACGTGCGCGCGCGTGTTACATCAGCAGCCACACGGCGGAGTCTGTGCGAACACCGCGACGCATCTTCGGCGCGAGCCAGGAGAGGAGGCCGAGGTGATCGCTCTGCGACGCGCCTCGCTCTGGTGTCACGTGAAGCGTCTCGCGATACGCGAACGAAGAAGCGCGGATCTTCGTCAGTGAGTAATCTCCGTCGACCGATTGTGCGATGATGCGTGACGGACGAGCGAAGTCGGTGAGAGCGAATGCGCGGGTGTATCTTCGACTTGAGTACGTGGAATCCGCCGTGATTCGTCGTACGAGCAGAGCCGGTCGGTCGGTGGCTCCTCTCGACGCTCTGCGACAATTATCTCGGAATCTTATCGGCGATCATCCATTTATCGCGCGTATCCTCCGGATATCTGAGTAACTCGACGCGCGCGGTCGTAGGGGGAGACCGACCGGGACTGATATTGAAAAATGACTGTTGTAACTATTTGCGGGCAACCTTGAGCTTATGATTGGCTCATAGGCAGAGGAGTCTAACGAGCACAGAGCCGTGCAGTGTGCCGCGCGTGTATGATACGACGGCGAGAGAGAGAGAGACAGACTCGTGTGCGGGTATCGATATTCCGGTAGACGACAGTGTATCGCGTTTCTCGGCATCTTTTTCTCTCCCCGTCAGCTCTACCCGGGTGAATTTATCGCGAGTGTATGTCTGTTATCGCAACGGCGACGACGACGACTTCGATAAGCTCGACGTGCGCTATGTAACGCGCTTTCCACGTAAGAGAGATTCTTCACAGCACTCGGAACTGGATACGCCGCCCGACGGATGAATTCTCGGCGGTCATGCGTATACGTTACTCGCGGATCTCTTGTTATCTCATTTTTTTTATCTTTTTCGAAATTCGCGCACTCGGAGAATGTTCACGCGCGATAAAGCGGCCGACGAACGAGAATCCGCGTTTGTTGCCTTCAGAAATTCGCTCGCGCAAAGCCAGACCCACATTCCCCGACATAAAGGTGAAACGTTTCGGGCTCTCGACCTAATAACTTTACTGCCTCCCTCCACGCGTTGCGGCCGGAACGAGAGAAAGAGGGAGAGAGGAAAAAGAAAGAGAAACACGCACGGAGAAGGAGAGCCGGTGAAAAGGTTCGCAAATTTGCGCCGGATTGTAAAGCCAGTCCGTAAAGCGTTTTATTATTTGCAACGATGCCGCGGACGGGTCCAAATAACGATAACAACGTGCCGCACGCGCGGGTCATCGCACGCACGCCGCCGAGATCGTTCGCGCGTTATAATGGTGAATCGACGAGAGAGCCGCTCTGCTCGTCGACGCGGCCCCGGAATCGTCGCACGGCGACAATTTCCGCGAACCCACCTCCATCTCCTCCTCCCTACTCAATCTCTCTCTCCCTCCCTCTTTCTCTCTCGCTCAAACGCTGCTGCTGCTGGACCTTTTGTGCGTGCAATTTCCACGTTTTGTTTCACGCCGACAGAAGCGAAACGTGTGTGCCAATCGTGCGCGTATACGTGTGATTGGTGAGTGAGTGTGTGCGTGTGCGTGTGTGTGTGTGTGTGTGTGTGCACACGCCGCGTGTAGTATTTTCGGCGGCCAACAGATCGATCGGTGTGGCCCGCTTGTCGGTCGTTGTTTCTCTCGTCGTCGTCGTCGGCAGCGGTTATGTGTTCGCCATGTGGACGGCGATACGCACGGATTCGCGACGTTAAAGTCGACCCGTTTGTAGCAAATGACCGTTCGTATCCCGACATCAGTGACGACCTTCGTAGAAGAGCGTTTCGCTTATTCTTTCCTTCACGGACAGACTTTCATGTCTGTTACGTGGCAGGTAGGAAAAAATCGCACGTTGATGCAAACTTCACAATCTTCTTGATTACATTCGTGAGGCACGCAAATATACAGTATCAAATCAATCATTAGATCAGCAGCACACGATCATGCAAGTGTCTTGTTGCATTGAGATGCAGAGCAACAAATTCTCTCAAAGTTACACTCGGACTTTTAAATTATATTTCGCGCGACGACATTGTTTCAAGCGAATTTTGATCATTTCTTCCGCATTTCTTCACTCTGTAGTAAATGAGTATCATATGAAGCACTTGTAAGACGCGCAATCTTCGCAAATCGATTAATACAGTTGCTGCCTTTGCATACATTTGTCTGCCCCTTCGATACTTATCGATACTTGACCTGTATCGGAATGCAACTGTCTACAAAAAGGGACGGTAAACCGAGAGGATCTTCTCCGAAAATAATAAATTAACTTCAGTTCAGCCGCTCGGCTGACCTCGCCGAGTCAGAAGACTATATCCTTTTGTGTTTCCTTGAATTAGCCATACTTATCGTCGTGAATGGTATCGGGAAACACACGTTGGCACGTCGTGATGTCATCTCGACCCACAACTACGTTTGCCGTTAAAAGGAAGAGAAAGAGGGACACAACGAGAGAAGAAGCAGTCCTGTCGCAAGATCGCATTACGATGAATCGGTCGGAAACACTCGCTCAGTGAATTTCCCGAGCCGACTGGGCCCGCGGTCGCGGCGTGGAAACCGCGATAAAGCCGTCGCCAACATTGTGTCTCTGGTCGGATGTAAAAATAAAAGGAAGCAGACGCGTGTCTCAAGGCTAACAGACCGCGTATTACCCCTCTCAGGAGCGTAGAATCACGCGCTCGACTGTTCCCCCGGCTCACTTTACTCATCAAGGTGTTCAATTGCACCGATACCTGTCCGTCGCGGATCGTGAGCACGCCTCTGTTCTTTCGTCCCTTTGCTTCCGCCGGCGAGTTTGATCTTTCGACAACGATCTCTGCGGATCTTTCAAAGATCCGCGACTCTATCGCGCGTCACTTGCTCCACTCAACGATTGCTGACAGTGAGAATTGACGCTTGGTCTCTGCCAACTTTTTCCCCGGGGCAGAAGCAGAGACGATCGCGAAAATCGCGCGGGATCGATTCAATCATATTCTTATTGCGCGGGACGAAATGAAGTGTGAACCGCCGCTCTCGTTAATTACCGCTCGTAAATTACTGTGAATTTATCACAGTGGAATTTCATAAGAAGCAAACGCGAGAGGGCGAACTGCTGGGGGATTTCGGCGTGCGAAATCGATGTATTAGTTATTACGCAACTTTATATTCGCCACGAACAGCGAGTTAGAACGCAAGCCACCCCGAAACATCACGTGTGTGTGTGTGTGTGTGTGTGAGCGAGCGGATGGATGGTTGTTGCGAGCGAGTAGAGGGTCTGTTTTTTTATTGATAGTGCGACGATCAAACACGGACGTGCGCGAGCGATGTAATGGAAGGGCAGGAGGAAGTAAAGGAGGCTCGGGAGAGGAAAGAGAGCGAGAGCTT